CAAAGCCACCTCCATTTTACTTCATTTAGTATTTGATAGGTTTTTTTCCTCTTGGAGGAAAGCTGGGGATTTGCATTATTTAGGCTAAAATGCTAGAGAAGAAGGGCATACTGAGGAAGAGGAGAGGCTTTGATTCAGCTTTTGTGTCTGGTGGGAACATTTTCTCAAAATGTAGGTGCTATTTCCTGTAATCAAGGGCTTTCCAGAGCCTGATAATCATTTCCCAGCTGTACCATTTTGGTGAATTATTTTTTAGCCTTGGGTTATTTCATGACTGGTTTTGCATATTAAGAATGGGAGAGGATCATATTCATCTTGATGATAGAAAACAGGGAATAAAACTCCCACAGCTCCCTCTCCCTTTCCATCCACCTTGTGGAAAGTTTGGCTTTGTGCTAAAGCGTGAAAAAAGCCTTGACTGTAGTATGTCAGGCATATTTCAGCTCGATTTGTGTCAACCCTAATAAGTCAGCTGACAAGGTAATAAATTGGGTGTCTGTTCAAGACCTGGCACCTGTACAGGAAATAAAAGGGATTTCAGTTGCAGGAGGTTTGCTTTGTTTTGCAAATGGACCTTTTCTCGAGGCTCCTCTACCTCCTCCCCCCTTCTCGTCTTTACTGAAATCCTGTTATCAAAATGTTTATTTCAATTGTGATTGGAGCCAGTTTTTCATATGGAAAAGAAAGCTCTATGAGTATCCTTGGAAATGGAAATCCTTATGCTTTCCACTCTGAAACAAAGGTTTACAGAGCATTTAATTATTCATGTATCCTGCTGTTACATATATGGTCTGAATAATTTCAAATTATTGAGGAGAAACTGCCTTTGTTCAGCATTCTGAAACTTTGCATTCATGTAGTTTGAATCAGGCTAGGAAGACTGAATTTGTTTAACCCAGGGACACTGTATTAGTAATATCTCACTATTTTTAATGATAATATAACCTTGTGACCAGGGTGTCTTAACATGTTTCCCTCTGTGTCTGACCTCCAAGGATGCAAGTCTGTTAGAGCTCTTGAGAGCTGAGCTTTTGTAGGTCCAGCTGTAGAGTTGTGTTTTTAGCTCAGGGGCCCCAGGTTGGTTCCCAGTGTGATGCAAGGTGGTGAGTACAATAGCGGTGAGGGCTGAGGCGGTTTCCTTGGGGTCTGCGCTTTTGACACACCGATTTTCCTCCATGCTTGGAAGAGAGACAATAGTTTCTGTCTCTGTCTCTTTTCCCTTGTGGTGACTGTCCTGGGCACTATGGAAGAGGGTTCCTAAAACTTTGGGTTTAGGCACTAAGGCTGATCTGTGAGTTTCAGGAAGCAAAACAGGACCTTGTATTCTTTGAAATGGGCAGTTGCCTTTTCTTCCAGTTGAATTTCCTCCACCTTTTCCCTCCTTCATTATCCCATAGGGATCTACAATAAGTAGATCTTCATTTCCACATGGAGAGTTCATCTCACAGAATTTCCTTCTTGGACTTTTTTAATTAGAGGAAGTGATAAGCTGACCCAGTGGAAGGAGAAGGGGGGAAATGGTTTATTAAAACAAATACTATCACCTTTGAGAAAAGTATGTGTGAACTTCAAAAACAAGGAGATGAGAACTCTCTCTCAGAGGCAAAACAGTTACCTAAGTGCATACTTTGCACATAAAAAGAAAATATTCAACAGAAATGTTCAAAAATCCAAATAGATAAATCTGTGTAATGTATACAAGGTTTTCATACACTCTGTCTGTTCTAGGATTTATTACTCCTTATGAAGAAGATTGAACTAGATGACAAGAGTTTTGCCTATCTGCTTCTGTCATGTTCATGGTTAAAACCAAACATTTAAATGAGGAAAAGTTTTCTTAGTTCTCTTCAGCATTTTCAAAAAGTGAAAATGGAACTTGAGGGAGAAAAAAAAAGGGGCTATATGAATGTTTAAAACTCCAAGTGAACTTTGTAATTGAATGCAAGCTCTGGACTTTCCTATCTATCAGACTGTAAATTTAATAAAAATACTTAGCTAAGCAAATCTTCTTTCTCCAGCATTGCGTAGTGATATGATGGATTACTCTAAATTAATTACAGTAATCAGCTAGTGTTATGTGCTGTAGGGTTGTGATTCAAGCATGAAGGAAAGAATGTACAGCAAATTACAGATATAAAAAATGTGTTGTAGGGTTAGCTCAAGTTTTGCATCTTAGCCTTAGCCTGTGGAAAAGAAAAAAAAAGGGACTCAGGGTGAAATACTGAAAGCTGATCAAAAATGGAGGAAATGTACCAATTCACATATCTTTGGATGTACTGCAAAGGCATTATAAGTTAATAAAAGCAAAAGAATAAAGTAAGAAAACAGTACCTAATAATAACTGATACTCTGTGTTGCAAGAGGTGTTTTAAATTTCCTAGTCATTGAAAAGATGTTAAGAAATGCCCATTTCTTTGTGTTTGAATAATATCAGCTCCCTTCTGACCTGTTGTGAAAGGGATTGAGATTTTATACTGAACTTTACAGATGCCTCATGAGATGAATTGCAAAAATCTGGCTGGACACATATAATCTTTAAAAATATTTATAGAACACAGCTCTTATGAAAATTAAACATGTTCCAGGTGTGTAAGTTGTTTTTGAAGTGGTAGGTACACCTGTCATTGCTAGTAAAGAGAAATTCTTCATCTGCCAGCTGCTGAAATGAAACTCCATGGGTTTTGTTGTGTTTCGTTTTTGTCCAAGAATAAAACTGAGATGATTGTAGTAAAGGTAGGAATGAGTTGCAGGTAAGATGTGGCAGCTGGCTGTGGAAAAGATAATAGTTATCTGCTTCCCTCCAAGCAACAACTCCATGCCACACTTCCACTTCTTGGGATAAAATGGTGGATGTGATACTGTTCAGCTTGCAGCCTGGTATTGGAAGCTTGGGATTTTCAGCTGACTGTTCTCCATTAGTAGAGAAGCTTAACAGCACAGAAGCTCAAGATGTTTCCTTCTAGTCTTATTCAAAACATCATATCATTCTAGGGAGAGATGCTAATGCCAAAAGGTCTGAATGGTTATCTCTGCAAAAACACAGAGGTGACTGCAAGATTCATAGCATGGGGATGGTTTGCAAGCTGCAAGAGCAATGTTTGCTGAGGTGACCTCATGTTCCAGTGCATCTAACCAAAAGGACAGCACATGGCCAGGCCATTTTCAGGGATGTTTTCCAGGTGTGTGAAGCAAAGCTTTTAGAGGAGAAGGAGCAAATTATGTCCTGTTTTAGTTTTGCAGATTCAAGTGTTTGGGGAGTTATGCTGTAAACTACTTAAAAATAATCTAGCTGGAAAAAGAAAGGAGGGGGGAAGAGAAAAGAAAAAGCAGGGTTTGGGAAGAAGGACCATTGAGAAGTGGCACTGAGACAAGAATAAGCAGACATGCACAGAGTAATGCATGGAGACTTTTTTAGCTGATTTCAGTGTAAGGTGAAGTTCCAGGTGAGACTAAAGTGAGAGATGTAGGTCCATCATAGACTTTTAGCTGAGGTTTTGCAAGGCTGTGACACCTACGTGCAGTTTGTTACCACCTCTGCTCAAGTAGTGCCTTGCAGGTGTGCCATTTACGATTTCCATTTGAAGTTCCCTGAATTTGAATTTATCAGTCTTCCTTCAACCATGAATATTATTTATAGATTTCTAAAACCTTGCACAACCTTGCACAAAGGTAGTGTTCTGCTGCTTATTTCTTCCTGCCCCCCCTAAAAATAAAATACCAGCAGCAAAACATCTGAGAACTAGGTTTAATTTTTCCTCTGTGTAGGTGATGGGGCTAATGATAATTGTATTTCTGATTCTTAAGCACTAAACTGAGGTGCATTTGATCCATAAAAAGAGATATGTGTGACTTTCCAATGATTACTGTCTTCTCCCTACTATTTTTTCTGCTTGCTGCTTTTGAAATGCTGCCCAGTTCAATTCACCACAGTCCCACAAGCGTCTTCAGCAGCAGAGCAAGGAGGGTAGCAGGAGAAGGTGTGAAGAAGCTGCTGCAAATCCTCCTGTGGACTACTCTCTTCTACAAAAATGGCAGTTTATACATCAATCTGCATTTCATAGCTACCTAAGCCGGTTGTCACCTGGGCCACCCGAGTGCCCAATCGTATCTCTCATGCTGGGGTTATGCTTCCTGATCTGTCCAAATACTCACCCAGCAAAACCAAAGCAATTTGTTTGAAAACAACTCAGCCTCCAAATCAGTGAAATGGAGTGGAAGTGGTGGGGCACTGAGGTGAAGGTGTGACTGTGGTGACCCAAATTTTTATTAACCTAAACAGCTGTGGAGACTTAACACTAGATCTGGCCTACCCATCCTGGAACTACCTTCTTTTTCCTTCTCCTTGTCTCAGCACTGTCCTGCACTATAGCTGCTCACTCCCTGTAGTCCAGGAACTTGGCACCAAAGAAGTGCTGTCTGCTGGCTTTCCCACCTTTGCAAATTTGTGATTTTATATTTTTCCTCCCCCTTTTCTGGCAGTCCTGCCATTTTTCTCTACCAATTGCCCTTTCCTTTCTTTTCAAAGGCACTGGGGTTTATCTCTTCCTCCTTCATTTATCCTCTTTTAAAGTCAAGTGATATGCTGAGCAGATATCTCACTGCTCCCTAAAATTATATCACCTTCCATGACCTTCCTTGCAATGGGAATAGTCAAGGTATTTTAATGTCATACATTAATGTTTAAGCATAATTACTGCTATGCTTCAGTCACTTCTGTCTTTTGAGTTAGCAAGGATGGGTTTCTTCCAGATTTAGGAAAACAAGAATATCATAACACCTGCAGCACATGGAGTGCTTCAGCCTTCGAGCATGCCTAATGCCACAGCATGGATGGTGAGTGGGTGAGGGTTGGTTTTAAAAACCTTATAAACCTCAAGCAGAGGTTCCACTGATGTAGTAGTTAGTAGTATTGCTTGACAGGGGTTGCAGAACTTGGAGACTGGTTTTATGACTCCCGTTATCAGAAATTATAGATAAAACTTTTTGGATCTCTGTTTCAGTGTTTTATTCAGAAGAGTTGGCTTAATTAGTTATATCTACATATGGAATAACTACACACTCTTTGAACTTCCCTGGGACTCACCATGGACATGGTATTTGATGCTCCTGGGAGTGGACTTTGCATGTTACTGCCTTCATTGCATAGGCCATGGTAAGCGTTAATGATTTTTTAACATATTAAAATACAAAATATAGAAATTATTTATTAATAAAACGAGGTAACTATTTATGTTTCTATACTTAATCTCCTCTAAGCATATATAGCTGTTTTCCTTTCCAAGTATTAACGAGGACTCACTTTCGCTTTGACCACAGAAAACAATTTATACATCATCTTCTGTATAATAAACATGATTTCGTGAAGAGTGAAGTATCATAGGAAAAAATAGTAAGTACATAAAAAATTTAGGGCCATTATCCTTATATATTTTTATTAAAAATACAGCACAATACAGATAACTATTTTAGAACCTTGGGAATTTGCAAAATGGAGGGCAGTAAAAGTAAGGTGTAATGACAGGAGAGCTGGCCAATTCATCTGTTTCTGTGTGGTTTTAAAAATCTTTTTAAACGTTCAATCATTGTTTAATTGATAAATGAATGAAAATGTCTCTCTACTTCATGTATATATGGACGTAAATACACAAGTATGTATAAGATGGGCTAGAAATCTGTCTGCAATTAACACCTGACTACATAAATGCAAGCCTTGTCTTGGTTTCTTTCAGGTTCATTTTTAACTTGCTTTTATAGTGAAAGAGAGAAAGCACAGTTTAGAAAGGATTTAGCTTTTTTTTTACTGTAACAATGGAGCCCATGTAAATCGTGCCACTCATTTCTGTACATATATATTGTGAAGATGTAATGATATTGATTCCTATGTCTGTCTTGTTATGTAATTCTCTTCTATAGTGACATTTTTGCTTTAGCCTTTTATATCACATCTGAAAATGCAGTAACGCTCTCAGTCCTAATTTGGGGCCTGATCTAAAGTCCGTAGCAATGAAAGAAGAATCTTCCTGTTGTTTAAGAGACTTTAGACAGGGCTTCTTAAGGCAGAGCGCCCACAACATGCAAAAACTGTGGGATCTAGTGACGCTAGTTTATGTAATGCGCTTTCAGAAAGGGGAAAAGTTTTGGTGCCAATAGGTCAGCGGAATATATGGAAGTAGGTAAGAAAGGAGCGTGATCTGCTGCGAGGAGTGGGAGGGAGGAAGGGTCCCTCCCAGGTGGGGATGGCAGGCAGGCGTGAGAACAATGCAGGGTGGGTGCAGGGGGACAACAATGGTGGGGGACGGGGCGGGAGGTGAGGAAGCAGGGGGAGCTGGAACAATGCGGAGGGGGGACATCACGGCCGGGAGCTGGGAGCCCAGCGTGGGTGTACACAAGACTGGGAATACGCTTCGCAAACAATGACATTAACAGTGCTGGCAGGGCTACAGCCTCAGGCTGAGAACTGGACCAGAGCGGGAGGCTATTCCTGCATTTAAAAATATAAATAGTTGCCTTCAAGTGTTAGAAAATTACTAGCCCGACTGTGCTTTCACTGGAGTCAGTGGTAAAATTCGCACTGGCAGAGAAGGGAGCGGGGTCAGCTCCGTGTTCTCTAAAGCAATTACATGTATTTCTGTTCCTGCAGCAACTTTGCCTTTACTCTCATCTGTTTTTCTATATCCTGGGGGGTTGCACACTTTGAAATGAAACTTGCTAACAGTTTCAGAATTAAAAGCCAAATCTATTCTATCTATAGGTAATGGATTTGAGGAAACTGCATGAGAAAATGCTGCTCTTGTCTTAAGAAAGCGCTGACGTATTCTATAAATGATAATTTACTCTTCTTCACGTTACAGAAATATTGTTTGCTGTTAGGTCTGTGCTACTCAGCAGGGAACTGATGCAACATTGTAGGAAATCACTGTAAATGGAAATTTTAGCTTAACTGACACTTTCCTCTGGTTGAGCAATGATGAAATCTGTGGCACAGCAGCACAGCTGCAAAAGTCGGCTGCTTTGGAAGTTGCTAAGGAAATTTAAGTGTAGGAGATGGCTTTAAAAAGTAAAATATAAACTCATGAAAAAATACCTTTGCACTTTGAGAGGCCAGGGCACTGGAGCAGTCTCTGGAATAAGCGAAAAAAGCACAGCCTTGCGCTAGAAAGTGGCAGGGTCCAGTGATTCAGTGTTGGATCCTAGAGCAAAGCTGAACATCAGCAGCACATGTATATCCCAGGAAGTTCCAAGTTGTGTGGACTTATGTGTGGGGGTGTAAATAATAGCACTAACTGTTTCAAACTGGAAAACTAAAATTCAGATACGTTTTGCAGTTGTTTCTTAACACTTGATGTAATTTTGATACAAAGAATCTTCATCATCATGTAGCTTTTCTTGTCTCCAAGCAATGATTTGTTAACTCAGCCCCCTGGCTTTGAAGTACTTTATTTCATGTTGTCCATGCAATAATTGGATTGTCTGTTCTGGTATTTGAATAAATAGTCTGAATCATTACAGTTTTCAAAAGTTTCTTCTGTAGCAGAAACTCTACAATACAATATCAAGTTTTTACCCAGCACTTGGGAAGCTATTTTTTCCTCTTCACTACGTGTGTGTAATAGCTATTATCATAAACTGAAGTTATACAGCAACAAGAGGAAGTATTTTTAGGTGTGATCTCATTTTGCAAAGGATAGAGTTATTCTGAGTATGTGCTTGTATTTTTCATTGTTTGCAGTAGCCACAAAAAAGTTAGAAGATAAAATGTTTCACCACTTATTCCAGCGTTCTTCTGGGCCTGATCCAAAAGCCATGGCAGTCAATGGGAGTACTTAGCCACTGCTTTTTCTCCTGGTGTTTCAATGAATTTATAAATCAATGTACCTTGTCCTTTTGTTTCAGTAAAAACACTCGTTATGGCCGTACTACCAAGAAATGTCAGCTGTAAAATCACAGTTGTTTTTTTTGTTTGTTTTTTTTTTTTCAGGGAAGGGTATGTGTGGGTTTGAGGGATTTTTACCAGATAGTTTAATCTAGCATATATCTGGATTACTCCTTAAGTTTCCTCTCCAGGTGCAGAGTCCTTGCAGAGTTCCTCCTGCTAGAAAGGGGGATTTGGTGGTCCCAGAGCAGTGCTGAGTCCCAGCCCTTGTGCAGCACACCCCTCCCCACGCCCTGGGCTTGTGGATACTTCTGCTGCAGACATATGACAATGGCAGTAAGGAATTTGGAGGCTCTGTAAACTAATTTCTTCAGCAGCCACACCTTTTAATCAGGGGAGGAAATCTAGAGACTTCCAGACCCATGCAAAAAAACAAGAGATGTGCACTTGTGTGGAGGCAAGGTCCTGGCTGGGGAGCCAAGGAGGGGTTCATGGCTGGCTCTGGTGCAAGGGGCTCTGCCAAGCCCATGGGCATCCATGGTCTGAGCAGGGTCCTCGGCAGTGGCTACGCTCTCAACCTGTGCCCCAATGGGGGATAGTGCGGAACTCTAAACCTCCTGTCCTCTCTGTAAGGAGTAGTTTTTAACCTATACTTCCTGGGGGATTTCATCCTGCAGAGCAGTGAGGTTTTATGTCAGCCAGGGGACCCTCCTCTCCTGTTTCAGGCCCTGAAAGAAGCTGTCCAAGTCTGACAGCCAGCAGGTTTAAAGAGCCCTGTCTCTTTTTAACAGCAGCTTCCAACACCTCTTTTGTTCTCCTTTACTGCTGGGGAATTTCCATTGCTTCAGTGTCGCTCCCCTTGGACAACCTGGGAGAAGTGAGTTTCCTTCTGCAGGGCCAACCTCCGCAGCAGTTGCATTGTTCTGCCAGGGCTATGGTTGCCTGTGTCAGCCGCTTGCCCCCATTGTCCGCTGGCGGCTTCCAGCACCCTGTGGGATACGTGACACGGTCCCTGTCAGCTAAAGGCCGAGCCAATATGAGCTGATGGTCTGAGTTATGTGCAGAGGTTGTAAAACAGACTTCAGCTGATAAGTATATCCTCGGCAGATTCCCCAGCCGCTATAAAATTTTGATTTAATGGCATTTCTCTTAATAATTTAGAGTTTATTTATGGTGGATGAGACATAAACCTTCTACTACACCAAGTATATTCTGGAGCGACAGACTCTAAGCTTCTCAGGTTCTCCCACCCCACAGGACTGACCTTTTGTCCAAGGCCAGCTTCTGAAGGGCCATAGGACTAAGAGGAAACCCTGAAAACTCACTTCAGCTTTGTCCCTCAAAAGGCTGTGCCTCAGACCTCCGGCAAAATGTCTCACCTGTGGATATTGAGGTGGTTTTCTTTCTATGATTTTCAAGAATTGGAAGCTTTGTGAACTTTTCTTCTCCTATTGTGTAGATTTAAAAAAAAAAAAAGTTTTTTTCTCTTAGCCATGACTTACATTGCTTCTCCCTCTTCTCCCAGTAAGCATCTTTTGTTACAGTTTCATAGAACAGTATCTTCAGCAGCAGAGCTGAGTTCGGAAGTTTCTGGCTTTTCTTTTCCTACACCATGCTGCAGTTTACCACCCACTCAGTTCTGAAAAAAAAAACCTCCTGCACAAAGACTGCGTGCATAAGATCACTGAAACAGTCCATGTTAAAAAACGGGATTGTTCTGTGTTTCTTTCTTAAACAATTCAACTCAGTTCAGTAGTCATGGGGTCAACTTAGCCATGGGCTAAGCATAAGTAACATAATCCAGACTTGCTAGCACATAATCTATGCGATAGCTGTGGAGACTTCAGAGAGAGCAGAAAGGGTTTTCTGGGTCAGTAGTGCACAGGCAGGTAACTCATTCATTTATCCACTCATTCAGAGTGGATAAATTGGGGCAGGTAATGTATCAAGATTCATGCAATTAAAATGACTGGAATGGGTAACAGTAAAACCCAGTCTTGTTCTTTTTGTTAATTACTACTGCTAACATAGTCTGCACTAATGCTCCTAATGTGGTATCACTTTGGATACCATTGCAATGCTGTGTTCACTGTTGAATGCGGAGATGAGTTGAACTTGCAAGCTTGCTAAAGGAAAAGACAGCAGGGCTCTTCACCATCTACATTTACAGCTTGTTTTTGGAGACTGTATTGGAATCATATGATTGTGCTATCTTTATTTATCTGACCCATTTCTGCCTTTGAAGTGCTCCTTGCATCTGCATTTTATAATGTACTTGT